GCTTTAATATTAATTATAAATTTTTGATATTTATATAAATTTAAAAAAATAAGTTATAAATTATTTACTTTTAATAATAAGCAAATTTGACACAATAAAATCTGTATTATTATTTTTAATTTAATAAAAATGATTGATAAATAAATAAATAATAAATAAAATAAAAATACCAAAAAGTTATATTATTTATATTTAATAATAATAAAAATAATAATATATTTGCTAATAACTAATTGAAAAATAAAAAAAATAAATAATTACTTTTTTATAATAATAAATATTCAATCAATTTACATATCATATTTAGTGAATTCAAAGATGAAATTGAATATTTAGATTATTAAAGAATAGATTCTTAATGAGAGCTTAGTTTATAATACTCATCTCTTTGAATCAAATTTTGGTTTGTATTTATTTGCTATCATTATCGACACACTCATATTGAATTTCAGATTCAGGAAATTTTATCCCTGAATAATCACAAAGTATTGTCCGTAGACTTTCCGTTTATAGGCTACATTGGGAAGTTATTGGGTTGGTAAATTGCCACGTGATGTTACCTGGACCCCAAATTTAAAGAACGAGATGCTCCGTATTGAAAAATTCAGGTCGGCTAACTCGGCGAGGCGACATCAAAAGTCACTATTCTTAAAAAACCAAAAATTGGAGGGTAACTATAGAGAGATGACTAAAATAGGATTTTTTCACTATACGAAAATTTTAGAGTCGTGAATGCAGCATTTTTTTAAAATATAACTGACTATAGAAAAATGCTTTTAATTGGAGTAATGCAATGCGAGTGTATGATTGAGACATGTATATGTATCGGATACAGTATTTTTATCAATCCAAAACGCCAAGAGTTTCCAAGAGTTTTCATATATTCTGTACATTATAAAAATATATTGATATTTACATATTTCTTAATTCAACTTAAATGAATGTTTATTTTTATTCCCATAATAGTAATTTTATGAACATTGATTAAACCGAACTTTAACGCTAATACATGCGCTTAAATAAACATTCAACACATTTTTAGTAACTGCTCAATGAATACAGCAAAAGACATTACTCGAGCTTCGTTCAAAGACTCTTATTCAAGACACAAAAATACCGAAAATAAATTCAATTATAAAATTCTACCATAAAAAATATGAAAAATGATTTGGCAACTAAAGCGGAGTCAGAGCATAAGGACTTTGATGTCATTATAGTTGTTGGTCAGGATCCTAACATAGAAAGATTTAGTGCTTGTTCCAAGACGCTTCGCGAAAGATCAATTTATTTTCATACTGCATTGTCGAGTAGATGGGCCAAAAAAGAGAAGGACATTTATTTGTTAGAAAAGCCGAATTTGTCACCAGAGGTTTTTAGATTGATTTTAGAGTGAGTAAATTCTATGCTAATATCTATTGTGAAAAAAAAAACCGAAATTAGATTTCTCTAACCCTTTAATTCCAGGTTTCTTGTTGACCGTAAAGTAAAGCTAAGTAGTTACAATGGAAAAATGGTGGATTTATTGCTGGCAGTGGAAGAATTGATGCTTGGTGATTTACGTAGTGTGCTTCAGCACCAAACTATTACCGGTACTCACAAGACAAGATGGATTTCGGAAAATTGTCCGGATTTACTGCGCATAGTAGTCGAATTCGAATCATTGAAAGAGCTTCGTCACGCTGTTATAGGTTGGATATGTGAAAATCCCTCTTGGCTTTACGATTCACATAACTTCGCGACATTAGAGAAGTCAGTTATTTTGGAAGCAATCAAAAATGAAAGAGATTATTTGGACAATATCCTAATTTGGGACATTTTACTTAGATGGAACATAGCACGTAATAACACTATTAGTTTAGATACTTCTACTTGGTCTGTCGTCGTGTTTGAAGTGTTGAAGAAAAATTTAAAGGAATTTCTACCATATATCCGATTTGATCTTATATCTCGAAATGATTTTCACAAAAGAATATTACCATTTAGAAAAATCATTTCAAGGAAAATCACAGATCAGGCTCTAAGCTATTATTTAGAAGACACGGCTCAATATCCTCCAAAAACAACTTTAGACGATTCAGTAATAATTAATCATATACATGCAGCCACGATTTCGAAATGGATTATGGGAAAAAACATTGAATCAACAAAACCTTTAAAAAACGAGTCACAATTCAAATCCCGTTTCACTAAACGTTACGAATTCGAGTTACTTTATCGTGCCGGTCGAGACGGATTCTCTGGTAACGCATACCATAAGCATTGTGATGACAGGGGAAAAAATCTTGTGGTGGCAAAGATTGCAAATTCACAGATAATTGTTGGCGGA